GGATTGTATAGATTAGATTAAAAATTTTAAACTTAATTCCCAACACTAATTTAGTTGAAGGTTAAGTTTTATAAAAAGATATGACAACATTTTACATGAGAAGCGTTGAAATAATGATGGGCAAAGAATATAACTTGGATAACATTGCATTTTTTGTTTTGTAAAAACCAGTGTGCTTTTGCCAAAAGCCTAATTCATACCAGCTACGCATCAACATTACATCACATCTCAATCCACATCCAGATCCGTTAGAGGGAAAAGACGACGACAATCTTAAAGGTGAACTTCGCCATTTGTTGGCTCTGACGGCTGCCATCGTCGCTGTTCTCACGTCCCGAAATGTCGCTTGCTTGTTGCACGTGTGTTTGAGGAAGCTTTTACACCATGGCATCCTTTCTGTGTTTGTGTTCGTGAGCAACATACTTATGTACATATGTTTACTTATAATTCCGTTTTAAATCCATTGACTTCAAGTGTCGAAGTGGGCTTCCATTAAAGAGCATTAAAGGTGCGCAAAAAATACGTCTTGGACATGACCCTAACCTGAGAGAATGGCTTAGATAGTAATGCTTCTCAATTTATTTATTTTCAATTCAAGATTTACATATACTAGTACATACATATACACATATTATTCCAATCGAAATACACATAAGCAGCCCGCCGTTTTTGGCACTTATGCCGATCCCATTTTTTTAGCACATGAATTTTTCATTTGCCCACTGAAAAATTTGCATTCAAGAAAATATATTTTTCGGCTTTTGATGTTGGCATATACAATAATTGCTTTGCATATTTAATTCAATCTTATTAAATTCTTTGCTGTTGCTCTGCTTATGGAATTTAACAAAAGAATTGCCAAAATTACACATACGCCGTGTTGTTCGATATAAAGGTACATATACAATATACATAATCCTTTATTTCCGTAAAACGCAAAAGTGGCTGGTAACAACAATTTAAATGCTAGGTTTTTATTTCGACAGCTGTTTTAATTAAAACGAGCAACCAAAAGGTAAAACAAAAACAACAACAAAAAGCAATGTGCGGAGGCACAAAGAAATTAAAAGTAAAAGTGCCAAGCCATGTTGAGAAACAACAGCAAGAATAAGAATAGCGACAACAATTGCGACAGAAGCTACAACATTGTCAGTATAAATAATACCGACTGCTAAATAAAGATTGGAGCGCAGCTGACTTTTGTATACCCTGTATCTCCCTAATAATTCAAGAAAAAACTATTATTAAAATTAAATCATCATGGTGTTTAGTTAAGTGATTATTTGTTATTATTTTCGATTTCATTTAAACTTTAAACTCTCTTCATTTAAAACATATTTGATTGTGAAAGTTAATAAATCAATTATTTGATTATAATTCAATTGTAGGTAGAAAGGCGCTAAAATAATTATCTCGATTTGTGTTTAATAAAATAGAGATGGAAATCCCAGCTGGAGTTCGGGTAGCCAATATCACTTACCCTTCAATAATAAATAGTAAAATTTTGGCATTAAATTATCATGCTCGATAAAGATTATTAGAAAGAAAATAAAGAGTTTACGTTCATATACTAGGTACTACTACTATCAACAGACTATTCGAAATCAATATTCTACAGGGAATGAAAACGCCAACGACGGTGTCGGTTACAATTACCAAGGCAGGTGAAATACCGACAAACAACACACATACATATAAATGTACAAGCTGACAAAGAAAGCGATTTATGTATGCAGGCGAGAGGCATAAAACGGCACAAAAGACGCCTGTTACTTAAGCGGTTTGATGAAAGGCGTTGCAAGCTGCAGACAATGGTAAAATGAAAGAGGGCCATGGGAGGGGCATCTGGGCCAGTCAGCACAAAGTAGTTGTGCGTGTGTGGCTGGGTGTGGCATGCTTGAAGGCGCCACTTAAAGAGAAACTGCAGCAACAAGAACCTGCTATTAAGCGGATTGCCGTCGCCAGGAAATGTATGTAACAACTCAACTCATATTTAAATGGGCCATAAACTAAACGCTCAATATGCATCAGTTTTATAAATGATGCGCAACAGCTAAGGGGCTTTACATTCGCAGTTAAGCTTCGGTGTAACGAACTCTACTAGTGAGCAGTAAATCAAATACAACACCCCGTTGTAACTCTTTAAAATACCAAATGAACTTGTTAATATCTTTCGAGTATTCCGTTTGCTTATGAAACAATTTTTGCTTTACAAATATAGAACTATTTTAATATTTACATGAAATAATAAGCCAGAAGAAGAAATATTTAACATAAAATCTACCTTAAAACCCAAGCTCTGTATCAATATATGGGTAGAAGTCTTTTAAATTAATATTTTTAATATAAGTAACAAAAAACTATTTTAAATTTGAAAGGAAATTATTACAATCTGAATTGAACGTTTTAGTAATTGGCCTATCTTGTTTATATAGTACATATATCGACGTATAATGCACAAAAGTTGTTGACGCTTTTGAAAATAGTTTAATATATGTTTAAACACATCAAAGCATATATTAAGAACATAGGCTGTCCAGTAATTTTTGTATTTTTTCAAACAATTCAATGTGGACAAAGTGTTTTACAGTCAATATAGTCTTGGGCACTTTTTTATTTATTAAAATATCAATTTGTGATAAATTTTTCAAGTTGTATCATCCTTCTTATTTATAGAACTTTTAAACATATGGGTATATTAATTAAACAATTAAATGAAACAATTAAACCATTTATTTGAAAATATGTTATGTTTTTCTACTTTATTGTAAGTGTAATTCTGATTGAATTGCTCTTAGCAGTAAAATCAGACATTATTTGTTGATTAATTGATATATGTGCATGTGATTTGATTAATGTATATTTGTTTTTATGTTATAATGTTCTTTAAAAATTATTCGATAAGTACCAAAGGCTTCACTGTACTTGCCATAATATGTTATGTTCGCGCGCAAATAGGTAGATGTGGCCCCTGGCATTGTGCAGCACTTTTTCCTCGCAAGAATTAAATATACCCACGTATACACACAAGCGCATATAGTATGTAGAAATATGTACTCAGCTGTGTGTGTGTGTATAGCTGCGTATAGCAGCTAGCTCTGTGAATTCATTGTGCTGCGTCATTGTCAGGAAAACTCATCAGACTTATGGCCATGCCACGTTCATTGATGCCAGTGGTAGAGGCAGCTGTAAAGCTTTATCATCATTATCATCAGTGTGAGCATAGCATTGGGGAGGGGGGCGAAACCTCCAACCAAACACCGACTACCAACCAAGCGAGCAACCAAGCGACCACGTTATTGTCCCTCGCCTTGGCCATTGTTTGTTGGCGCTTAGCTTCGCATTTTTTTGTGCGCTATGCAAATAGTTGTCTTTTTTCTTTTCTGTCCGTCTTCTAGCTTTTCTTTTGCTGACCGATTTTGCTCTACAATTTGGCCATTGTGCTGAAAAAAAAGAGGTGGCGGCCCACGCCTTCGCCTGCTTGCCGGCTTGACCTAGGATACACGCAATTCTAATGCGCAAATTCATTGAGTCGCGTATCGGGGTGGCTTCGGGGATGTGGACAGATTGTGGACTGTAAGGAGGCGGTTGGGGCGTTGGATGCTTTTACCGCCTGCTGCTAAATTAGCACATCAAAACAAAAAGGCGCGCAGAAGAATTGTGAGCGCAACAATAACAACTATAAGTAATGGGGTGAAACTCTCAGCACAAGAATGTCAGAGAAACGAAACTTTTCTTTGCGTTCTATATACACAGACAAAAACCAACACATACATACATATGTACATATATAACGAATCTCCCACGCTTTTCTTGTAATGCTGTGCGCGCAAAAGTAGGCAACGATACATTGAGTTGTAGTGCCGTCGAGCGTTGCCAGACTGAAAAAATGTACCGTTCTCTGTTTAATATTAAATGTATATGTTTTTTCTTAAATCAAAAGCGCAATTTTTTTGAACTTTTTTCGCTTATTTATAGCCACTAGAGATACTTTATTTTTATTTTTTGTTTTAAAGCAATATTTTAAATGCTTTTATATATTTTTCGTAGTTGGCAGCGTCACAAGCACACACCTGCCCAGCTAACTGCCCTACGTCAATGTTTTAGCAGACCAGCGAATAGCCCCCTCCTCACATCAGTCTCTTCTCCGCCATTGCGCCATTGTGTGCCACCATTTATTGCGATACAGCCACCGCCATCTCACATTCCGTCACATCTACACACATACATACGAGTACACTTAGAAAAAGGGGATGTTTTTAGTTCTAAAAGAAAAGCGATTGGTGTAAGCCGGTGTCAACAACTAAATGCTATATTTAAGTACGGTTTTTATGTTTATTACTTTAGTACACCTAATTCTGTTTTTACACGGTTTGAAAATTTGCATATGATCAATGTCTTTTTTTACACGACTTTTTTAGAAACCAATCTATCGTGTAAAAACAGAATTAGGTGTACAGTGTACACCCAATTCTTAGGTGTAAGTATATGTATTTTAATCTTAGCGACTACCATGATTACAACAGGATTAATGAGACATTACGAAACTTTTAATATTATAATGGCTCAATGCTGTTATCTCGTACACACATAATTCATTAGAATGCTATTTCTTGTAAATATTTTTAAAAATAATATCATTTGCCCATATTATTGGAAAGTATTCCTGCTTACTTGATATTAACAATGATCAGTAACTAATAACGAGTAAATCACTTTTTCTACACAAATGATTAATTTATTTGAGTTGATACTTAATATTTCAGGCTGATTCAAAAAAATTAAGTATTCCCCGAGTGTTTCAGTGTACCTACGCACAGCAACATTTGAGCGCTTTAATTTTTGTTGCCCATTTTCACTTTTGCCACATTTTGTTTTGCTCCTCTTCGCAGTCGTTGCGTGAGAGGCGAGCTCTCGACGCTCGTGGCGCTTCGTTAAAGTTCGTTTACCAGCTTGGCGCTCGGGGTTGCGCTTTATGCACACTAGGCTGATAAGAGCTGGCACAGTCGTCGTTGAGGGCTCGTTGCAAGCAGCGCGCAGTTGGTAGAACGTTGACATTACCGTTATTGAATCGAATTCGCTGACCAATTTTGTAATTTGTGCTGATGCTCCTGTGCGCCCATTAGATGAAAAGTGCGAGACGTTTGTGAGTCTTAAGATACGCAAGAAATTCTGTCTTTACCGTGTGGCGAGTCGCGAGTTGTTCCCATTTAACTTGAGCTGAAATAACTTTGCGTCAGCATGTCCAAGCCGAGTACACCTCAGCATAGTGCCGCAGGTGCGACCGCTGGCGGAGCAAGTCCCAGCAGCAGCAACGAGAAAGTTAGCGTAAGTTTTGGTGCCACTCGACCCACTCTATTTATGACTTTATTGGTGGCTTCTGAAGCTGCTTAAAGCCGTTAAAAAAGTTAATTTTTCTCATTTGTTGCAACAAACTTAACAGAAATAGTCATAAATTCAAATTTATTCATGTTTTGTTGGTTCGATGGTCTGCGCCTAAGAGGTATGCAACACATTTTTCCCACCAGTCTGATCATGGGTACCGATTTCCACACTACCCTCATTGTGTCCAAAACGTGTGAACGTGAACTCGACTTGAATGCGTGTTTAAATATGCTCCTTTGATTGCAATCCACACGCCGTGTATGTTGAATGAGTTACGAGTGTGTTTAATTATGTGAAAGCGGTGGCATCTGTGCATGGCTGTGTGTGTTTTTGCTGGATACCCATATTCGTTCTGCTATTCGGGATGCAACTGCAAAAACACCCACACAGAAGTACACTCGCGTACACTTACTCCGACACATAACCATTATACATATTTCATGGCACACTAGTACGTGACACAAGGCCCAGGCGTGCAGAAGGCAGCAGCATCCGCATATGTGCATCTAACTACATATTTCCTGCCACATTGTACACAACTGTACCGCATAAACATTACGAATAGGGTCTCGAAGTCGTGTTCTTTTTTCTCTGATTTTGAACATTACAAAAGACGAACTAATGCAAAACAAACACACAATTTTTTGCATCATTTTTTGTTTAAATTGTTTTGTAATCCTGCATCTCCCAATATGCTGACAGTGCTGTGGCTGGCAATGCACTTTTTGTGTGGTTGTTGTGTGGATGACACTGGCAGATGCTAGTTTTATTGTTGCATTCAAATTTCCGAGTATTGTGTGTGTGTGTGTTTTAAGGATGTTTCTGCAAGTCTGAAGATTTTGATAACAACTTTAATGGTAATCTTAATTTGTGTGCCATTTATGTGGCCATGAAACTGATATACAAAAGCGTTTTTAATAGAGTCTGTCAACAAGCTTAGCAAACTATGACTATCATGATTTACTTCAGCTCTCCTGCTCTACAACACTAGCGCAAGCCACAGGCATTTTTGTAATTTGTTTTCCCTTTTCTCTTCTCTGCTTTCACTTATATCCTATCAAAACCATAAACTGTGCTGTAAAGTATGCCTGCGGTCCTTTATTAAAGCGGCAACCGAATAAGAAATGCTTGGCATCGGCATCTGGCCGCGATATTTCAAAATATTTTTCTTTCCTTTATTTTTATTTGGCCAACTGCGCACGTTAATTGTTCAGCTGTACAAAACAAAAAAAAAAAAAAAACAAAAAATTAAACACATTCCTGTCAGATTGCTCGGCTTTTGCAAATATGTCATGTTACTTGTATTTTCTTGACTCATGCACTGGGAGTTTATGCTTCGCTTGGGGCAGAGCTCGAGTCAAACACGAGTTGTTCCTGTTTATGGACTCGCATGTATTCACATTAAATGAACTTTCATTGAAGCAAATTGGCAGCAGAGGAGTACAAAGTGCTGCCTCAAATGCTGCTATGTGATCCATGAAAAATGCGGATGAGCTTTGAATTTGAAACCGTCGTTGAGTTCATTGGATTCCTTAATTCACTTTTCCTTTTTCTCCATTCTGTTGACTCTTAATACGCAAGAAAGTTGTGCGTTAAATTCTTGAATTTATGTAGTTATCCTCTCTTCGACATATGGTTGTCCTTTCCTGAAATCATTTCTGGCTGTTAATTTCGTTGAAAAATGGCAGAAATATTTTTGTATATTTAAGAAGCGGATTGTACATTCGTTGCCTAAACTTGTAGCATACTTCTGAGTAATTTTCTATTAGCGAGAAATTTAAGTTCCTCGATTTTTAAATTTGGCCAGAAATAGGTTGATTAAAGTCATATTTCAGTACTTGAAAGTCCTTTTATTGTATGATGCAAAATTTTAGCTTAGAGACTAACAAGTTAAACACAGCTTTGTGCGCTTTTATACTTTTTGAAATGAATATTAGTTAGAGATGGTATGCGTCATTAAAAATACTATGCACATGTATAAAGCAGCGACAGCTTATATACAATTCTCTATTTTAATTAACATTCGAATTGTGTTGTTGAATCGCTGCTGGCAAGCAGCAAAGCGTCATGTTTACGTCCATGAGAAAGCTGCTTGCATTAATATGCTAGATATTTTTAAAGTATTTTTAAGCATACAAAAAAAAAGCAGAGAACGAATCCTTGTTTGTTGAACTTACATTTAATTTTTTCAAGGTCACGCGTATGCAAAGTCCTTTTCGCTTTTTCTCAAACTTTTCATTCCCCTAAAACTTAAATTACGTTTAATTTGCGGTCATGCACATACATACATACATATACAAGTATATAATATATGTGTATGTGTTGGCGCGTCTATTAATGGCGTTCTTAATGTCAACTGCATTGTGACCGTAGGCGTGAATTTTTCCCAAATTTCTTTTTCGCTTTCAAGTGTAGTTAAAAAGTTGTCTGGCCTTTTTGGGGCAAAGTTTGGCAAAATTTTTAATAATATGCTTTGTTGTGAACACATTTTCTGCGCTTTACTCCTTTTAATGAGCTTGGCAATTTGAGCGTGCGAAAAATATGAAATATTAGGCAGACGTGGCGCTGGATGTGCCATGAACTTGAATTTGATTCACAGGCGTGGCAATAAATACGAGTAGACACACAAATACTTGTATATCATACTATAAGTTATACAGGTCGTATAATGCGAACGGACGCAGAAAACGCAATCGAGAGAAAAGAGTCATATGAAACATGATTTCTTTTGGTGAGTAATAAAATCAAACTTTACTACTCTTTTCTGCAATAAATAGCGATAGCTGCCAGCCAGAACCTTGACAGCGGTGGGAAAAACTAACTTATTGAACTACTGGCTTTCAGTATTTTATAACATCGACTTGGGGTTTGCGTAAAAGTTGAGGATGCGATGCATTTCCTCGCACAGCGTGCAGAGAAAAAGTTTCATTTATACACATAGTATACTTACTAGTATACAAGGTTCTTACAAATATCTACTTATTGTTATTTGATCTTCCAGCACACGTCACACTGCATTAAAGTTAGTTTCAAAGTGTTATTACTTCCTATGAAATCAGAAATAATTTTGTAACAGCAAACGTGCCCAATTGTGATGAGCAATCACATACCCTTTGCTTCAGTTTCTTCAACACACATGTCTGACTGTGCAAAGCTTTTCTCTTTATGGCAACGTCATTGTGGGCCATGTGCAAGCATATATTCATGCAATTAGTAAGGGATAAAGCAAAATAAGCTTAAACATGTATTATGTAGCACGCATTCAATTAGGCTCTTCAACAAATTAATATTAATGTGCAGCAATGTTTACACCCCAATAACGCCATTACTATATAGGGTGCTCCTCTTACACGACTAGTGCTTTAAATACGAAAATGGAGCAAAGTCAATAGGAAGATATTGGTGAGAATTAAATGGTGATGAACTCAGTCTGTGCTAAACCCTTCTTCCTAATATCTGCAACATTTGCTAATCTGTTCTTCAAAATGTTAACTGATTGCTGTTAGTCTTCTTATATTGCTTATAGACCAAATGAAGTTTATATTTAAAGCAATACAATGACACAAATGCGTTTAGTTCAAAAATATAAATATGTTTCTGCAGCAGAGATCAAAAATATTAATTATGGAAGTATTAAAAACTTGCTTATTTCTAAAGATATGTGAAAAAAATTGCATTTCGCGAATGTTGCAATAATATCTGATGGCCATGCATCAAAAATACTTTTGAATACAAATTAAAATAAAAGGGAAATAGTAGGCAGTATAGTTTTGTTTTTTGACGCAGTGAAAAATATATACATAGCATCGCCTCAGACCCGATGAAGATAACTTCTTAGCTCGTTTGAATTCTTTTTAAAGTTTCATTCAAGTTAAATTTGAGACAACAATAAGCACTTTCGGCATACATCTTAACCTTCTTTTATTCTTTGGGAAGGGGGGTTGGGGGCATGGAGGAATTCTTTATTCAGCAGATCTAAAGTTCTGGCCAAATGCTTAATTGTACTTGAAACACGAATCACAACTTAAAACTTTTGACACGCAACAGAGTACTGGGACTGAATCCACATCAATGCCAATGCTAAGAATAAACTTGAATAAACACAAAAACTTAAACGTGACAGGAAAACTCAGAGTACCTATTAAAGACTTTTGTTGATGCTGAAAGCACAAATAATAGACTATGCAGAACATGTTAACGTTGGCAGCATCTAGCCACTATTTAAGGCATTATAGTAAAACAAGATCTAATTGAACGAGTTCTAACTTTACATTTTTTAAACAGCTGAATTTCGAAAGTTACAAATATTGGCAAATGTTTAAAACAAGTAATACAATTAATTTTATTGGTTATCAATAGTGTGAGGATTTGCTATTTGCACCGAACCATTCAGGTTTTAGTTTGGATTTCGCAAAACCGCATTATAATACAAGTAGTATATGATGTACGAGTATTTAAATGTAACAAATGTTGTGCCATTGGCTTACGACTACCATAAATCAACTATTAAAACAAACTTCTAGGGAACACCCCCTACTAGCATATACATGAACATTAAGATATGCATATATCATGCATAATTTAGTAACCACACCACTAATAAAATTTATAATCGACCTGTGCGCCAAATTGGATTCTGTACAGAAGTTTGTTTGCGTGCCAACGCCAATCCACATGCGTCTTCACCAAAGGGCATACGTAAATATATCAACAGCGAAACATCATTTTAATAAAAACACACATATACATCTACTACTATAAGGTCACAGGGCAGGCATCGGATATCTATCGAAACATTTAAACCCATATATCAACATATGACCCATTATGCGAACACATACGTGCACACATACATATATAAGTGAACGAGGGATTGCTCAGCTCGAATTGCGTTGGAGATGCCAAAGGTCCGATGTCAATATAGATGCTGATTGTACGTCTGC